ACCTGAGACGAGTTACAGCAGGAGCACCTTCTCGTTGTGGGGTACAACCCCTGGAGGGGAAGAACGCCACAAAGGCAGAACTCAGAATTCTCCACTCATCCAAAAACTGTCTGGTTTTCAAAAAACAACACCTATAAATTCGAGAGATTAGGAGATAAACTAGGCAAGAATTAAAGAGGGGGTGGGATGAAAAATGAAAGAATTTGAAATAGGATAGAAGTGGAAAGTAGTAGATAAGTTAGGCAATGAATATGGAGGAGAAAATTTATGGGAGTGAAAAAGAGTTGGGGAAGCTAAAGAGGCAAGAAAGATCCACGGTTTACTATAACTACAATACCGCCACTATGATATTGTAGCTACTACAGTACCGCGGGATGAAAAACACCCGCGTCAAAATAAAAAAGGAATATGCTTGTGAGAATTTTGGTGTGCTCAACCAAAACTTAAAAAAATAATTCATTTTTCTTAACAAAGATAACATACTTAAAAAATATTTGTTTATTTAAAGATGCTCGTCTTTGTATTTTTGAGACTTCACTTGATTTCAAAAAAAATGTATTGATGATGAACATTTTGATGGAATAGTATCCTTGCAATCAATAAGAGTAAATATTTTAGGTTAAGCTAAAAATGGAACACTTGATTTCACAATATAGGATTTATCAATCTTCTAAAGTAGAAAACATGTACAAAGTGTAAAGCCTTTGCTAATTCCATATAAATTATAAGATATTTGTATAGACAGTGTTAGGTTCACCATGAACACCCAGGAAAAATGATTCTATTTTTGCCTTGATAGATTGCATCTTAAGAATATGACATTCAAAACGATCTAATAAAACTACTAATACATTTCACATTGTCAAATTATACATAATGAAGTTGTCTAAATATATAGGTTTCCTAAAATACAATTATTTTTTTGTTTAGGAAGTCAAATTCATGAGTTAACTAGGAAAACAACTTTAAAAAAAATGATAATACAACTTAAATTTTCAATTACTTGTCACCCATAAATTGATAAATAAATTAAAGTGAACGAACTTAGTAGATCTATTATGTTGTCAAATAAATGATTACGCGACTTGGTGAGAACTATGGACTGAGTTCCACAACTTAAATTCTCATCTTTCGAATAAATTAATCATACAATTCGAGAGGTCGGTGATCTCTCACAAACTAAACCTAATCGAAGATTCAAAACATCAATCTCATAGCATGATAAACCCTAAACATAGCAGTCGTCCCCACAATAATAACTAATAAAAACCAAATTGTTCTTAAATGCTGGTCTAACATTACTCCCCTCTCAAAAAGATATGTTATCTTCAAGGTGGAAAAAAAAGTAAAATGTTATTGGGACAAAGTTGTATCTCCCATATGATACCATTATATGGCAATACTTTCCATTTAATCAAAAATTCATACCAACCCTCATGAGGTCAAAAGTTGTTGTGTGCACATCATTTAGTCGTATATGAATCTGTTGGTACCCTGACTTCAAGTCAATCTGGGAGAATACTGCAGCCCCAAATAACTTGTCCAGTAGTTCATCGGTCACTAGAATGGAAAATTTGTCAGGTACTATTTCTTTACTCACTGTCTGATAATCCACACGGAAACACTAACTCTCATCTTTCTTCTTAAATAGCAAAAGTGGGCTAGAGAAGGGGCGAAGACTGGGTTGTATGATTCTGGCCTCCAACATCTTTAGGATCAATATCTCGATCTTGGCCTTCTCTACTTGAGGTTAGCAGCATCTGATCTTAGAATTGTTGCATGCTCGAGTCCACTCTCAATTCCTTCGCTCAATCCTCGTCCACTTCAGTTAAATCTAGTTGTCCGGATGTAGCATTATTTCGTACAAGTGTTGGCGCTCACGTCCGTTCCTGATTATTGTGCTCGATCTTGTGGATTTCAATCCACCTAAAGCAGGGATGTTGCCCAAATGTCGCATGAATCTTTTTAATTGTTGCCACTCACATCCGCTCCAAGCTTCATCGCTCGATCCAGTAGCAGGCGGAGGCGGGTTTGCGTGAAACTCCATGATCTTCTTCATCTTTTTTTTCCAGAGCCGTGAATCTTCCATGAATGAGAAATGCTCATCTATTTCAGATCTGATTTAGCTCACCTATTCCTCTAATTGTTTCTCCATGGAAACTATTTTTTTGACTGTCATTATTCCTAATAAGATTTTTTATCACGAATGCAAAATTCTATACATCACAATTCTGTAATATCGTTCATAAGTTTTCTTGATAGCATGAATCGCGACTATATCAGAATAGGAAAGCCACAATCCATCGACGGCTTCCCAGATAGCGAGGTTCAAATGCTAGAACATGCCTGATCCCATCATCGCCTTCTTACATCGCCACTAGGACACGCTTGATCTCGTCGTTGGCTTCTTTGATCTGATACATATACTCGATCTCGTTGTTTGACTTCTCAGCTATCACGATCCCGTCTTCGGCTTCCCAACTAGCTCTTACCGCGAGTGTATCACGATCCCGCTTTGGCTGATACGACTGTATAACAATCTCACGATCTAGTCTTTTGTTTCTAAGAAATTGGTTGCTCTAATACCAATTTTAAAGAGAATGAGATAAATTTCTATAGAAATTATGGCAGAAAATAAAAGAATTTACTCCGGCGATACCAAATCAAAGCAATATAACTCCGCATACATAAAAGATAAGCACCGATAATTCGAGAGATGGTCTCAACACCTACAATTCAAGAGGTAGGAGATCTCCAAAACCCTAAACCTAATCCTACAATTCAAAATATCAATCTCATAGCATAACTAACCCTAAACATATTAACCTTATTTATAACCCACAATAATAACTAATAAAAGACTAAATTGCCCTTACACGTTGCTCTAACAAAAGCATCTTTAATGCGCTTCATAATAAAAAATAGGGGTCATTACATACCTTCGACCTAATTATTATTTATTAACATATCAACACCCAGACTTCAATTTTTACGTACAAACCACCGGTTTCCTATGTTTACACACAAGTTGGGTGGTATGTCGGTAAAAATTGAAGTTTAGATGATTGACATGTTAATACATAGAAAATGGGTGTTAGGTATGTAAATCTCCCTAAAAAATAAGAAATGAAGTCATGCAAAAGAAGATGAGAGCTCTTCACTAACAAAAAAAAAAGCATTAGAAGCAAGGCTAATTAGACTATCGATTGGTGCAAGAAATGATTGAAGGCCTAAGGATTTGTTAATTATACAAATATTGACTATGAGGAAACTTTTGTTCCTGTTGTAAAACTAAACAATTAATATTTATAAAGCCTTTGCAAACTAAGGAGCACGAATAAGCTATTTACATTAAAATGACTACAGGTTTAAAGAAGAAAACAGGAAACCTTGTAAACTAAGAAACTCCCTTTATAGTCTAAAACAATTTTCTCATGCTTGGTTCATTGAACATATAAGCACTCAAAAAAGGAAAAAAGAAAAAACGCATTAAGTTAATCTGGTTGTAATCCGAGATTTTCTTAGTTTACAAAATAGTCAGAACAGGAAATTTTAAAGTAGAAATGTCCTCTTTGTAAACGAAGCAATCTCAATTAAAAATCATTTGGATTCTAAGTCTTATATTTATTATTTGTCATCCAAAGAAAGAAAATTATAGTTCAGTGGCCTCTAATACTTGAATCCTAAATTTTATTGAATGATCTAACCCATATTCTATTTGCATTAGGAAATCTGACCCTAAATTTTCCTACATCAACCAAAAATGCGTCTATCCATCCAAGCCATTGTTCATAGAACAAATCTTAGAGCTCACTTTTTCTGCATTTGCAAAATTGCTAATTTACTGTATTACGTCATTTAGTTAGATGTAGTTAAAAATCAATATAAAATTTAAACTCTAAAACACCTTCAAAAGCTTTAAAAAATTATGATTTCATTTTCATTCAAAATATGAGTGAAAATAAATTAATTATTTTCTAAATCAAACTTTATATCTAGAATTAACCAAATGAGCCCTTACAAACATGTTAAAACATGTTAAATACGCATGTTTAGACTTGGCTGAGCTTTCACTCTACATGTAGCTTTGAAGTGTTAGTCCTTTTAGTAGACCAATTTTCCAAACAACTTAATGAGTATTAAAGAAACATAACAAGCAGTAATGAACAAAAAAAATGCAATTAATGTGGTGTCAAAGAACCACTATTTTGGACTTGATGCCATCTGAATAACTACTAAAAAACTATGAGTAACCTTGAAAATTATCTTTCTTATAAAGATGAGAATTGACAACTGTTTATTACAATTTAAATGCAGAAAAGTGATCCCATTATTAGAATTGTGTTTCCAGTTTGCCTTGAGGTTTCTTTCGGGGGCATTTACATACATACTACTCAATTCCTATGTATTTACATATCATATGCCTAAACATTGCTTTTTACATATTAACCATCCAAAATTTTCATATCACATAAAACATACCACAATTTTAACTTTAAAAAAAGTAAAATACACCATTTCATGCATAGGTAAAGTGTTTTGTATGTAAAAATTGAAGTTAAGATATTAAATATGTAAAAATATAGGAATTGAAGGGTACACATGTCAATTTCCCTTTTTTAGCCTGGGTTTCTGATGAGAGATTTCATCTGGCTTCCCAGAAATAGTGATAGGGATGCATATTTAACTGCACCAAAAATCATGCCATTTGCTGTAGCAAGTATTGCATTAAGTTTGTTGCGCAAGAGAAATTTTAGAAATAGTAGCATGATTAAACTCAAATTGACCTATACTTAAAAAAAATACAGTAAAGCAATTCTTTAAATTGGCTCTAATGTGCATGTGTGTACGTAAGCTGGACCAAATTGAAGAAACATCCAAAGCATTTGAAAATATTTGCAAGCCATCTCTACCTCTAAAAAAATATGAAATAAATCAACACCATTTAAAAATTAATAGAATCACTTGATGCACTAAACAAACTTAGACATAAACTTTACCTCATCACAGCCAGATTTCATCATCACACGTATAGCTCTTGTAACAAGTTCAGTTGCTGCAACCTCGGAATAATGATAAAAATATTAGAAAGCTCTAATAATACACTTACAGGTAAAATATTAGAGATGATAAAATAATGAGAAGACGAATAATCTAGAAAACAGTATATTTTGAGCCCAAATAAGAAAAAAGCATTCACCGAGTATGTTTCAATTATAAATAGATTCGGCCTTGGTAGTGGCATATGCCTTATTATTTTTAGAAGAAAAGATGTGACACATCAAGGATGAAGTTTCTATGCACAAAAAAGTGGGTCTAAGCATATAACTCACACTCAAGCTTTTCAATCTAAGGAAAACAATATTCAGAATTGTGGATACTCATTATTTGTGGTATTAACACAAATTCAAATATCATTTGACTTGGAAAATGCAGATAAAATGTTTTCTAAATAAGGTCAAATAGATCCTGCAAACAAATTCCAGCATATGCTTTTTGAAATATAAGTATATTTTAAAATTCTATGTAAATTAAGGATAATAAATTTGAAATGCTGAGAGATAATTGGTCAGTTATATAGTAAATTCAAGAAATCATTTTTAAAAAAAATTAATTAGAAGTAAAATAAATCTAAAAGTTTGCATTATCGTATTTTAAAAATATACATTTTGGATTAATATAATATTCTTATGTACTTTTAAAACACTTAAAAAATGGATCAAAAGCACAGCAAGCTCGGCAGTGACCATTGGAGCTGATGGTAATGATGGACGGGGTCAGTAGCAATGCGGGGATTGGGAGAGCTATGAGTTCATGAGCACCGGAAGAAGTGAGGTTATGAGAGTGTTGAGAAAGCTGGAGGCTGTTAGCAAGCATGAGAAGAGTCGAAGGTCGCGAGGAAGTATGGCAATGTCAAAATTTGCAAGTGCGGGGAGAACTTATGGCCATGAGTGAATGATGAATAGAAAATTTGCTTGAATTAAGAATTTTTTAAATTTATCAAAAATTAATTGTTGAAGGTATTCAAGACCCCTTTGAGATACTTTAAATATGTTTTATTTCCAACAAAACACCTAAAAATTTAAAACCCCTACATTTATTTTGCTTTACACTCATAATACATAAAAAACAAATTCCTCTTAAAAGATTATTATTATTATCCACATAAGCTCATATACAACATCGAATAAGGACAAGGACAACGAACAAGTATAAAATATATCAAACAACATGGTAAGAGAGAGAAGTAATTAAATAGTAGGAAAGGTAAGTAAATAGATAGGAAAATAGAGGGAAGGTGACGATGAAAAGAAAGATCAAGTAGATGGATAGACTTACAGGTAGATTGAAGGATGCAAGGATGTACGATTACAAGGAAGAAAGGTTGGATGGATAGGGAGGTGAAAAGGGTCGAATGCTTTTAAACTTTACCGTTAAAATGCACTAAATATGTCTGAAAGTCCCAAGACAAAATAAACCATATAAAATATAATGAAATGGGAAAGCTGGTAAAACAAACTTAAAAATATATAGGACTAAATACATAAAGGTCGATAAATGGAGATGGACTTTGATAGAGAGAAGAAAAAAATAGAATCTAATATTTTAGAGAATACGGTGTTAAATAGAAAGTCAGTTGATTTGATGTTTGGAGGAGAAAAACCATTTGGCGGATAATATGTCCTGCTAGCTTGGAGAGTTCAATAAATTGTAGGAGGAAATAACACAAAATGATTTGAGTTCGATAATAAGATGTCTAAAACATCATTTGCCTGCTTTATCATCATTAGTAGTTTTATCCCAACAATTTATAGTCAAGATTAAAGCTTTATCTGACTAAAAATAAAAGAAAAACAAATAAAGCTCTATAAACTTAATCCAATTCTAATGTCTATTCACTTCAGGTGCATCCATATTGATCCTAATTATAACTAAGACCCAGTAGGGAGGTCACTGGAGTTATAGAGCTTCACGCATCAGAAAAAAAGTCATAGTATTGGGTAAAATTTCAAGAGCTTTAAATAGAAAAAAAAATGCAATAAAAAACATTACACATACCCAAGCACATAACTATATTTTAGATCCATTTGCTCATGTTCCACAGGCAACATCAAACTTCTCTTTTTGGAAATGGAAATATGGATCATTTGACAGTTAGAAATTTCTATTTAGCACCTTAAACAATCGATGCATTGCTCCTAGTAAAAAAACTATAAATCATAAACAATATCATCACTAGATGTCTTTGAACTGTTAGAAGTCAGTTTTATGAAGTCATAAATCTAATTTAACATCTTCGTAGTTAAAATAAAATAAAATAAAAAATCTTAGAAATTTAGATATATTTGCTGCCAAGGCCTGGTAATTTCAAGAAAACAAATACCTATATAAAACAAATGACAGTACCATGTCATATCTTAGAAAGTATGGAAAACCTGTTGAGTTCTAAGATACATTGTGATTTCTCCTGATCTAGAAAAGGACAAGGCTGTGGCTGCAACAAAAATCAGTACTTCCTAAATGGAAACATGTAGTCAAGGTTTGAAATTACTCAGATCCCTGCATGGAAGGAAATCTGATGGGCAGCGAGTGCCTCCTAGTTTAGGCAATAAATCTTCGTACCTTCTCTGTTCAACTAGTATGTTTTTCAATATATATAAGCTATATTTCCTAGTATAGAAATCAAGATTTTCCTTATTCTAAAACAAGTTATTTACTATCTTTTCTTTCTCCTATAATCTGATACTAAAAGGAGCATTTCTCTTATAATCTGAAAGCATTCCTACAATCTGAAAGCTAATGTTATGTTAGCCTCTTCTCTCCCTCTACTTAAATAATTAACATAGTTTTAGAGCCCTAAAGCAAAGATAGCCTATATGGCTACAGCAGAACATTAATTGGGACAAAGCACTGTTGGGGAGAAGTTTGATTATTCAATGTGGGGAGAAGTTCGATTATTCCGTATCCTCACAAAGCCTCGCCATTAATTCAAATGTGTCCTCTACAAATTAAGTCTTATAAGCCTAATGGGAAAATTTTCTTCCAATGATCTTACTATATCCAAAATGTGATACGAGGAAGATAAAATATTCAGTACTAGAATGGTAACATTGGACAACTTGAAGTGGTCATTTCTCCTCAGAGAATAACACATTGGTGATGTCCTGACTTATTAACTCACTGGATAAATGTATTGGATCTCTGCATCTCATTCACAAGATTGCAAAATCAATTTGAGAGAAAGATAATATGGTGTATTCTAGTCTTGCAACTTTACACAATTATGTGAATTATGAGATCAGGCCCAAGATCTCGGATAAGGGATTATAAATATCATTAAAAACTTTACAATCTACACCAAAAAATGGCAAGAGTTGGATTTTTATAAACCAAATGACTGGCATGGGGAGTGTGCAGAGAAATATATCAAACTTGTGCAACAAAACCTGTGATTTACTTGCTAGTCTCAATAAAGATCTTGATGATGTTCGAGAAGCATGCTTACAATTCAACGGCCACCCAATATTAAAGACATTTTAGCTATAGTTTGAAAGAAAGGAAAAATGCAAATTATTATGGTTGGTATTACCACAAGCCCTCTCCAAATTGAAATGTAGGCCCTTGCCATATAAAGTTTAGGGTAATGTCAAATACATGACCCAACGTGTGGAAAATTGGACAATCTATCATTTAATGTTTGTTAAAAGTCACAAGAAAAAAGTTGCTGGAAACTTCAGGGCAAGCCAATCAAAATAATATATCTCATCCTAAAAATTAACATAAAAATAATCATGCCCATCAAACAAAAACCAACCACATAACATGAGTGTCATTTACCAGAACTAAAAGTAATTGTACACTCATGAAAAAGCTTTCAGCTCCCTCTCACAGCCCAAAAAGATAATTTTTCTTTTACTCTTAACTAAATAAAAAAAGGTATGAAGTCTTGGATCGTTGACTCAAATGCTTCAGATCATCTGACATATTGTGTAAATCAATTCTCATCTTACACCCCTTCATCTGAAATCTTAAAGTCAAAAATTGTTGATGGGGAAAATACTAGAATTAACCATGGGCACCTCTTAAAATTTGCTTTAGATGTTCCTAATCCTTCATTTTTATGAGATATCTCTAAAGCTTGATATTGCAGAATAATTTTTCACAAAAACATTGTGAAGTTCTAAATCTAGAGGAAGAAGATTGATAGTGTTAGAGATGTTGGAGGACTTAGTACTTTGATAAGAATTTCAAATAAAATCTGCAAATTCTACCATAAATTGGAAACTTCTGCTCTTTTCAAGAAAGCTCAACTAATGTTGTCGCATTATAAGTTCCGTCATCCAAGCTTACCTTATCTTTAAAATGTTTTTCTTCTTTGTTTATGAGTAAAGATGACCTTGAATGTGAAGTTCGTCAACTCACCAAGCATCGAAACAAAATCTTTAAACCTAAACCTTATAAAGCTAACAAGCCCTTTTCTCTAGTACACAATGATATTTGGGGCCTTCCCGATCACAAAACCTCAACTCTAAATGTTGACTCATTATCATTGTTAATGATCATACAATCGTACACACACTAATAAAAGTCTCAATCTTCCTAGACTCAATAATTAAGAAATTCTCGAGCTTCCAAACTTTCAAACTTTAAAAGAAACTCAAAAAAATTTATTGGACCAAAATGCTCAACAACCTTTTCAAAAACATTCCCTTGAACTTCAAGTATACACTTGATGGATGAATCTACAAAACGTAGAAATCCCACAACCTCTAGAAATAGATCATCAATCTCTCCCAATTTTTTAACAAATCCTTTTCAATTGGACCTTACAAAAAGAATTACCAATTTCTTCAGGAAAAAAGGCGTGCTGCTATATTGAACAACCTATAAAAGTTGTTGTGAGACATGACCACGTATCATCCTCAAAGAAAACTCCGCTTATTTTCCAACTTAATAGAAATTAAAATCTCAAAAACTGGAGAATAGGGACTTGATATAAAATAAATAAATAAAAAAGAGGAAGGTTGTGTAAGGTGAAATGAAGACTCTTAAAAAATGAGACATGGAAAGTTGTTCATAAATCCAATGGTGCAATTCCTATTGGATGTAAATGGATAGTCAACATCAAATAGCACCTTGATGCACATTGAAAGATATAAGGCGTGATTGAAAGTGAAATAATTCATCCAAACTTATGTGGTTGACTACATGGAGATCTTTGCTTTAGTGGCAAAATTTAACCCAGTTTGGGTTCTCTTCTCAATGACAGCTAACCTTGAATGACATGTTCATCAACTTGATCTCAGGATTGCTTCTTTGGATGGAAACTTAAATGAAGAGTTCTAACTAGATCTACCTCCAAAATTTAGGAGATCTGAACAGACTATTCAAATATGCATATTAAAGAAATCTACGAGTAGCCTCAACCAATCATTTAGAGAACGGTTAAAAAAACTCACCAATATTATGTGCCAATAAAGTTTCAAAAAAACATATTTAGACGTCACATTATTCTACAAACGCAAATATGGTAAGTCTACCATACTAATTGTGTCTTTTGATTATATCATCTTCATCGAGATCATGATTTTGAAATAAGCATGTTGAAAAAATATTGGCTAAAGAGTTCAAAATTAATGATCTTGCACCACTCAAATATTTTCTTAGTATTTAGGTTGTTGGAAATGAATTAGGAATTATCAATGCCAAATGGATATAAATGCTTGGTTCATTAAAAGAAATAGATTTGATGGGGAGCAAACCAAAAGATATTCTAGTAGATTCAAACATAAAATTGAATGATTAAAACATCAAAATCCCAATCAATAAGGACAAGTATCAAAAACTTGTAGGGTAACTCAAATTAAATCTCACAACGAAACTGACAAAATGTGTTAGTATCTTAAGTTAGTTCTTGCATGCACCTTACAAAAAATACTAGAATGTTATCATATAAACACTCAAATACTTCGAAGGGAAACTAAGAATAGGGCTATTTTTCAAAAAGGGAGAATCCCGAAAAATTGAAGCTAATATTGATGTTAATTGGGTATGCGTTACTTTCAATAGAAGATCTACATATGGATACTGGACAGTAATCTATTAGCATGGCTAAGTAAGAAGTAAGACATTGAGGCAAGAAGAAATGTAAAATTTAGACTTAGATATTTGGCTAATAGAGTAAGTGAATTAATCTGACTTAGGTGTGTTAAAAAGGCCCTTACAATGTTACAATAAGGTGTCTAACAAAATAGGACATGAATTTATCCATTATGATCACATTCAATATACGAAGATTAATAAACACTTCATTAAAGAAAAAAAATTAGAAATTTGTGTATTTCTTATATTGCCTCCACTAAACAAACTACAGATATTTTGAATGAAGGATTGGCAATGACACTATTTTTAAGAACAAAAAAAGATAGACAACCTCAAACTATTTGATATCTAGAAGCTGGAAACCTAAAGAGGAGCATGAAAAACTAGTGAGGGTACAAGCTTTCTTGTGATTTCTCCATAACTAGAAAGGGCACTGGCTATATAATGCATAATAAGTGTTTTGCTAAATGAAAATAATGTTGGAGGGATTATCTGTCAGTCAATTTGCTCCCTGGTACCGAGCATTTGATGGCTTGCTCTAGATGAAAATATTGTTGCCGAGTAGCTAAATTTGACGGACCAAAGCTTCCTAACTGGAAAGAATCTAAAAGTTCAATATATGGTCTTATTCTCCCAACACTACTTCTAGTATATTTTTCAATATAAAAAAGTTGTCATTCCTTTAAGAGATGTCCAAATTCTTCTAGATCTAAAACATGTCATCTTTTTATTTTATCTAAAATCTAATATTAAAAAGTACCTGGTGAGAGGCAATGAAGATTAATATTATGCTCGATTTTCTTCTCTTCTTCTACTTCTAATAAAAAATAATTTGAGTATGACATGTTTCATCCTTCAGGACGTCAGATTAAGCATAAAATAAAGATAATAAAGGAAAGTAATCTAGCATGAACGGATGTGAAACAGTAAAAGCATGGAAAATTTTGTAAGGCTTTCATATGCTCATTCTCTATGGAAAAAAAAATGAACTATGCGGAAAAATATTTGGTTACTAGAACGAACAAATACAAAGAATTATGCTGAAAAATATTCGGTTGCAAAACTCAACTTAACAAACACTAACGATCTGTTTGAGACAACTGCAGTTGTTTGGAGAAGTAGTTGTGAACTTACTATGAAAGAGTCTGTTGTTCAAGAAGTTGCGATGACTATTACATTTTTTTTTTTTATTTTCAAAGAGTCAGACCTCAGCTCTTTGGTAGTCACCGCATTTAACCTGGTCAGGTTGTAAAACACAGCTTTCCCATCACAGATTCTTGAAAAAATAGACAAAACACAATTTTGTCAAGCACGTAAGTTGTGCGGTGCAGATTGGAAGCACACCTTTACTACCACACCAAACGGGCCCGAAGTAAATTACTCCATCTCAAGGGGACATAGGGTTGCAACTAGAAGCAAATTACTGGTTAATTATAGGTTCAGGGAAGTTACCGCTAAAAGCCTATTAATAATAATTACAGGTTAGGGAGGAAATAAAAATCAGAACAATTGTATCTTTTGATTTGCAGTAAGGAAATTCCAGATGCATTAACCAAGAGACACATTTCACCTTCTAAAATGTAAAATATAGTATAAATGTATTTTAAGTTGTTGTTTGAATCCAGATAGACAGTTATCTTCACAAAATAAGATCACAACATGATCTTTTGATAGAAATGGAAGATTATGTTTAATAACACTGAAGGCACCAGTGAATGCCAAAAAAACTACCAAGCGATCAACATACCTGTCTGTCACTAATTCATATGGAGCCATACATTAAGAATATCTAGAAGTATATAATAAAAGAATTAAAAAAACATTAACTGAAAATTGCCAAAGTATAATAATTGGCACGATTATCTACTGCGCTCTACTGCATGCATCTACCTACAAAAAGAAAATATTAAAAGATTGCTCCATCGAGTCATACCAAAAACAGAGAAATTCACAAAATTCAACAGAACAGATGGGAATAGCCACACTGCATTATTCAATAATTACCAATGCCTCTTCCTCTGTAAGGTTTGATAACGACTAGCATCGCGATGTAACCTCTGAAGGTACTGCGGTGTTCCCCCATCTTGCAAACCACAGTGCCCACGCACTTGTCCCCGTGAAAAGCCTGGTATGGCAAGTAAGCGAATAAACACAAGCACGAGTAGATACAGAAAGAGAAACAGAATTGAATCGAATAAAACCCTAGAAATCAGGAGAGAAAAGAATTGGAAGGAATAGAAACAAACGAGGTAAGTGAGGTTCGGCCACAGATAGACGAAATAGCGGTAGGTGAAAATGGAATAAGGCTCGCTGAGCTCCTCGTCGACGAGACTCATTATGAGAGGGAGATGGTGCTCGCCACCGTAACTCAGGTACTGAATCTCCGAAAGCGAAGAACCCGTCGGCTCCGACTCTGGGTCGTGGACAGAAGCTTCCATGCCTATTTGCCCCTCTTGCGTTGCGGCACCTCGAACACATCAAGCCTCGAGTAGCCATGGGATGTCTGGTTCAAAGAGTCGAGGTCCAAGTCAACCTAAATGCAGGGCTTGAAGTTGCACATAAATAAATCTAAATTTGAGCCTAAACCCAAAGTTACTGATTAGTAAACTCAATTCATCATGAAATAGATAAGATATATCTCAACCCTTTTTGTTGGAAATCACTCCCATGCAAGAATCAATGGTTGATATCATACAAGTCATCCAAAATAAAAAAAATTTTCAAAAGACTTCCAAAGATGAGGGCTTGGAGCTTCCCACATGACCTTAGGCATGGTACCAACATGATTTTAGGCATGGTACTGAGGAATGCCATCATCTCAAAAACTTGATTGAAGAATTAATTCAAGCAGGAAAGCTGAAATCATTTATTGTGCTAGAAGCCCATATGTAGAGGCAAGGGAAGATGCCCATCGAGACCATTTCTAATAGACCACTACTTGCCACAATTGTGATTATTGGTGTAGATGTGTGTAGCCACTTCAATAATATACTTCAGGTTAGTTAATTTTTCTTTAAGTCCTTATAGCTGCCACTACTAGCGATTTAAAGTATTATTTATCGATTTCAAATATTAGCTAGTAAGATAACGCAAGTATATGTATTACTCAAGTAATATAGAACTCTAATTGAGCCTCAAGTATCGATTCCACAGGGAAGTTCAGAAATCTTATAATAAACTCTATCTAAACTGCAGAAAACTTAACTAGGAATGAAGGTCGAAATTTGTGTTTTTAAACTACGTAAATTATAACGACTACTCTTATCTAAGAACTTGAAGTAAATTCTAATATCGCTAAACTAAGCTTTATGAAGAAGAGTTCAAATTTTAGAAAGTATTTTTCCCCCTGCAAAGAGATTATAATCAGTGGATGATTAAAATTGTTACAAATTTAAAAATTATATTGTGTCAGACTCAGCTCATGTTCGGCTCATTTATATTCCGAGCTCAAAAAGTGTGTCATGTTTGGCTCGTTTGCTTAGCGAGTCGAACACGAGTTGTTCGCGAACAAAGAGTTGTTTTAACACCTAATTAGTTTGCCATAAGATGTTAAGGGTTGGGGTGAGATTAAAAAATTATAATTTATTTTAAAACATCATTTGAATCTCATTTAACAATTTGTATTCTATTTTTTTAATTAATATTTTTAATTGATTATAATTCTTTCTAGTCTTGTAGTAAATTAATTTTTTTTAAATACTACTCATATTTTGTGCCGAAACGAGCCGAACACGAATGACAAATTTTTGTTCGTGTTCGGCTCGTTAACTTAGTGAATGAGTTGAACACGAGCTGTTCGCGAACAACGAACCATTTTGACAGCCCTAGTAGGTGCATTACATAAACTAAAGGGCATCATTCTGAAAGCAAAAGTACCATAAAGACTTGTAAATATTGCCTTTTTCTTAATCCTCAAAGCAATAGAAATTTGGTGATAACCGATATATCCATTCAAACAGTAGAAATATATATGTCATGCTAGCCCATCCAAGATTTGGTCTAGAAAAGGTAGAGGAAAGTGATCTTTCCTAGTGGCAAAGTTCTATTTTCTATAGTCAATACAAATTCTCCAACTAGTAACTTGTCTTATCGATATTAATTCTTTCCATTCATTTACAACTACGACCGCTTCCCCTTTCTTAGGAATGCAGTGAATTGGACTAACCCAAGTACCGTCCAAAATATGATAAATGATTCCAACATCTAATCATTATAAATTTTCTTTATTAACAACTTCTTTAATTATAGGAAATAACCTTTTTGAGGATCAACTCTAGGCGTATGATTTTCTTTCATTAAAATTTAAAGGTTGATACGTTTGATATCAGCTAATGTCTATCTAAAGGCTTTCTTGTAATTTCTTAAAGTTTCTATTAATTTTTGGTCTTGCAGTTGAGTCAAACCTAAGGATATTATAATAGGCAATGTAGATGAATTTCCTAGAAAAGCGTAATTTAATTGCGTAAGAAGTACCTTCATCTCTAGTTCAGGAGGTGTTTCAATTGAAGGAACAAGATTTTTATTATTTTTCTTAGTGTCCAACAGCTCAAAACTTTCCCAAACACAATTTGAATCCTCATAACTTATTTCAATTAATTTATGTTGCTACTTAGCGTCATCTTCATACTCTAAATCTTCTTATCCAATTTTCTCTTGTTTATTTTCTCTGAAATGGTTGTTACTTAAATAATTGCTAATCTTCATTCTGAAGCACTCATACCTCTTCCCTTAATTGGATACTTTATTGACTTTGATATATTAAAGGTAGCTTTCTGGTCATTGACTCTTATGGTTAACTCACATTTGTGTGCGTCGATCATAGCTCTTCCAGTTCCAAGAAACAGTCTCCCTAAAATGATTAGAATTTCCTTTTCTTCCTCCATATCTAACACAAGAAAATCCATAGGGAAGATAAATATAGGAATGGATGTCCCGATGCTAGGTTACAATAGCAGGATAAATCTCTCCTAAGCATAACCTTCTGAAAATAGATAGAGGCATAAGGTAATAATGGCTCCCAAATCACATAAAGTTCTCCAAAAAAATCTCTCACATATTGCACATGGAATAGTAAAGCTATCAGGTTCTTTAAGTTTTTCAGAAAGCTTTTTTTGAATTATAGCGCTATACTCCTCACTGTCGGTTGTCAAATTAGAAGTTGTCAGCCGCCGGAATGGATGTCCCGATGCTAGGTTTAATTTAATATACATATATATAATTTTGAAAAGTAATATTTTAAGTTTTGAAAATAAGAGGCCGAACAGATCTCATATCCTTAATAGTTTAAATAAACGAGCCTAATGCCGTAAGATATGTATTTATCCCAAAGGGTACGCACACTACTTACTGGTGAGGTTTGATTAAATAAACTAAAGAATTTATGACATCCATTTAAGTCTGCGAAAAAACTATTAATTTAAGTTGACCGACAAGTTCCCATATTTAATACAAAAAATTAAATAGGGTTATATTAAGTTGGGTTCTTAAAGTTTTTCATAAAGGCAAGCCCCTATAGTTAATAACATCTTAGATAATTGAAGTCACCTAAGAAAACTCTCGATTAATATTAGAGAACATCGTCTTCAAAGAATTCAAAGGGATAGGACTTTTTAAAAGATCGGACCAAAGGAGTGTCAAATAGGAATGCCTCAAATTTGGAACATCGTTATGGAATCTAAAGGAAGAGAAACTAGGGGTTGTCACGGATCCTAAGGAGAACCTCGGTGACTTCCCAAGCTATCGTACAGTTTGGGTTCAGTTTTAGAGAGAAAAATTATTTAAATGTTACATCTTGCCAATTTTATTAGTTAGGGCTTACATCTATGCAAGATAGTCACATAAATAGCCTGGAAGATGTGAGAATTTAGGTTGTGATGAACGATAACCTTGAAATCTTAAAACGAGTTAGGGCTTATATTATACAGTAGAGCTATACAAAGACCTAAAGATGAGTTGAGGATTTATGTCGCACTGGGCAGACAACCTCAAAATCTTATGACCTGTTGTTTAATTCTACAGAAAGATGTTTTGTTGTAGATCTTCATGCTATTGTAGATTGCTGCCCACGGAGTTAGTTCCAAACTCTTCGGTGAAGTAGCAGTCCTAAAGTCTAAGGTTTAAAGGTTTAAATGACAAGTTTAAATTAAATCATTGGGGGGGCTTAAAGTTGATTAGAGTGACACTAATTAGGATCCCACGGTTCCGTCGTTCTGGCATCACTATTTTCTTTTGAATTTATTTATCTTAAACGAGTTGTGAAACTCATTTAAACCGGGGAGATCTCGTTAGCAACCATGGGTTACCTCCTCCGAGGGACTCTCGAAAATTCAAAAGGTTGTTTTAAACATAGTGACATTTCAAAGGATTTATGGTTACCTTTGAAACAATTTGTTTTAGATTTTTGAAAATGTTGATTAATTTTTTAAAATGGTTTTGATTTTTACAAGTAAGGTGCACAACCAAGTAGTTATAATATTTTTGCAACAAAATTAGATTGCAGAAAGTAAAATGACATAAATTAAATAACACTGTTAAAACATACCTGTCCTCTTCTCGACATTCCGCTGAAATGTTAGATTTTCCAACATGTATAGAATTTTATGGGAATTTAAATAAATCGCAAGAGTAGATAAAGGTGTAATTTCTGAACACTCAAACCATGACTCAACGAATCCCGAAAGATCTTAGCGGATTATTCAAAATATCCAAGAGATATTAAAATGTTCGGGACATAACCCTGAACCGCTTTAAACATCTCTTGAAACATTTTGAGATCATTTTGAACTTATTATATAGCCCCATTAATCATCCCAAGGTCAAATTGAAATTACCTCATTACTCTGTGAACCTTGACATTTTAATTATCCCAAGAGTGGGGCACTCAATTAATTAGTTGATATCTTACTTAAAAGTTATGTGGGTGGATGCACTAGAGCAAGTTTAAGTCATTAAAGATTTTTTGCCCAGCACAAAAGTTGGGCTTGTAGTGTTTAGAGGTGTTGATTATCAATCATATTATCTTTTCACTCAAAACCTCATTGAACAATCTTGGATTAAGCCTAGCTCACTACCAAGCCCTTAACAATTTTAGGAGATAAATTTGCAATTATTAGAATTTTAATTTAGGTGATACATATCCTTATTAAAAGATCATACCATATCCAATTGTGGGCATAAAATAAGTTAAATATCATCTTCCAAACCTAAGCCCATTAGTTTAGAATCATTTAAGTTTAATTAACTTCCAAATCCTATTAATTTAGGAAATTTCAATCTCACCCTTATCATGAAAAGGAGGCTAATTGGTTTCTACATTTTATCCCATTAAGTTTCAAACATCCAAAAAAATTCATTAAGATCAAAATTACCCATTTTTCCCTTCGTTAATCCTAAATTTCGTTAATCCTAAATTTTGATTAAGTAAATTTTGATTAAGGCACTAAAATCTAAAATTATCATTTCTCCCCTGAGACTTTTATTTACATTCTTAAACAATGCAGGCCA